TCGTTTTGGTTGATGCAATAATTACTTCTTGCAAATTCTATACAGCTTGTATATTGTATAATGTTTCTCTGATTATTATGCTTTTCTGTGTTTTATTCATTTTAAGCTGAAACCCATATATGTAAATATGTTTTGGTATAATTCATATGTAGGGAGAGGGCGTATTAAGTTTTAAGAACTTTTGCCCAATCCCAGTTGTAAAGTTTATAGACAATAAAATATGTTCAAACCATACAATAGTAGCCAAAAAATAATCATGACAAATTTATGTCCGCTGCTTAAAAATCATTAGGAGTCATATTTTAGTTATTGAAAGTATTGACGTGAATCTGGAAATCATTTGTATGAATTTGTGACCTTAACCTTTAATCCTCAAAATCAACAGGGGTCTTTCTTTAGTAACCATAAGCTTCATTGCAGAAGCTTAAAGAGAACTAAAGTTATATCTGGAAACCATTTTATGCAATATATGAGTTTTGTACCTTGGTTTTGCCTCAAAATCGATAGGGGTCGCTTTAACTTATAATAAGTAATAATTCTGAATTTCATTGCAAATGCTGAAGGTCTTTCAGAGACATCATCTGGAAAATATAAAAGGTTAAAAACAGGTAAAATAATTATAACGGATAGACGGAAGGACAAAACAAAATAAATCCCCGCTTTTATAGCGAAGGCGGGGAGGAAAAAAGAGAAACCACAAGGTTCACCATAAAGGTATCATATTTCAAAAATTAAAAAATGAAAAGTCGAATTTAATCAATGCAGTTGCAATCTAAATTTATAAGAATCTTAGAATGGTTAAATCCATTTCGTGAATATTGGAGTTTAAATGGATAATTTCGATAGGAAACTTAAAGTTTCTGTTGATACACATTTAAATGTGCGAAATATAAAGTATATACGCTCGGCTGAGATATACAATACAAAAATTGCACATTGCAAACATGTATATATATATTTGGATTTTATACAAACATTCGAATTGTTTTTGAAATAAAGAGCAAAGTGATACATGCGTAGCGATATTTTTTTTATTTTAATTTAATTTTTTAGATATCTTAAGTGGCCATTTTTAAATACAGAAAATTGAGAATGTTTAAGCAAATAAGGTCTGAGGTGCGGCTCTAATGTAAACATCAAATAAAAGTTTATTTAAAAAAAAATCTGGCGAACAATAGCAAAAACTGCAACATATGCTAAGTTTCCCTGACAAAAACAGGAATCATTATCTAAAAGAGATAACACATATTCTGGCCGCCCGAATTAGAAAAAAAAGTTTCATGAAAGTCAAACGATCAGGTATCCGACACCGGAAGTGGTCCCCATTATTATTTAAACAATCCATAAAGACATTCCTCTTTTCGATAGAGGTTTAAAAAATCATTCTCCGATCGAGCGAATCAGTAATGCTAAAAATAAATAAATAAATAAATAAATAAATAAATAAATAAATAAATAAATAAATAAATAAATAAATAAATAAAATATAATGCCAAGAAATGCTGATGAAAAATGTTTCTACTTCCCTCTCTCCCTATATACTAGTATTAGTTGCAGATCGGTAGCTCACTAGTCTTACCAGGAAAAATGTGTTACGACCAGAGAGCTCAGTTCCATGCGCTAAATAGAGAATAAAACATACCCTTTTTCCACATCACACCCTGTATTACCCCGAGACACCAATATCAGTCGGAGGGTTCTCTGGGTGATAATGGTGTCTTAAGCTGATATACAGGATGTGATGTGGAAAAGGGTATGTTTTATTATATTTATTTCATACTTATAGTAATAAAATACAGCACGCATCAACAAATGAATACTCGTGCACTGACTAGCTTATTATATCAAGAACAGTAATTTAAAATTAAGAAAATGTGAATGAAAAATAGGTGTATTATCACAAGTACTGTATTTTTTTTTTTAAAGGTTTAGTCAAAAGGGGTGTGATATAAATCCGTATCAGCCCAACCCAGCACGATCCGAATCAGCCCTGGAAGCTGTTACGGCTATTGTGACGTCAGGCATATTGCATGGTTATAAAAAAAACTGTATTTATCACTAAATTCATATCTAATAAATAGAGGATGATCAATGTTTTGTAGATGAAAATGGAATTTATCTCACTTGTGAGACAGGACTTTTTGATATTTTCACGAGTGCGAAAAATCCTGTCCCACTCGTGACATAAATTCCATATTCATCTACAAAACATTGAATTTTCTGTTTATTACACTTTCTTAGGTTTTTCCTTTGCCTCTGTCTTTTCGTAACACAGTGTCATAGGCTGTGACGTCATAGTTGAGCGGTTGAGACGTCATAGCTATAAGCGATTGTGAGATTGAAAAACATGGATTTTTAACGACATATTTGGAAAGACTTTGGCATTATAACTATGTCAGGATGGCTCATTAACTCTATCTTATAACAGGCCAGGGATTTTTTTTAAAAAACACTCTTCGTGAAGGGAAGGAAAAGTTTTGCCGCCCTTCTGATATTCTCACACTGTGAGAATACCATTTTTGATATCCTTTCACACTGTGTCAGAATATCACTTTTATTCAATAAATAAATTACAGTATTTCACTGTTGAAAATGTAATAAAAAGTACTTGTTCATTAAGCACTTTTTTGCGCAATGAATTTCTTAATACATGGAACTGTAGCTGTTTGGTTATATATCCCAGATCAGAGAGCTAAAGATCTGCACTTGCCTACGCATGTGCAGTGAACGCCTCTTTTCAGTTAACAGTTTGTACAGATAAGATAATTAATTTTGAAGCATTATTTGATTCATATATATAAAAATAAGAAATTAAAAACTATGCAATCAATTTATTAATATTTTGATTTTCCTTTTATTTATCCATAGGCTTCCTATTAAAAAAAAAACAACCTTAACAACAACAAAACCATGTACGGATTACTTTTTCTTTTACATCTCTTTTACGTGGTTTTATTACTTATTTTGATATATTTCTCAATAAATTATATAAAGAGAACCCGGGCTTTTACAGACCCATATCAGCCCGCGCGATAGACTTGCCTAATGTTTTTCCTGCTCAGACACACTGCTAGGGCCCGTTTTACAAAAGACCAAAAACTTTACTTGATTGTAAATTAATGATTCTCTTTGAAATTGCTAGCATAATTTTTTTTTTGTTAAATTCCTTTAAAAAGATTAAAACAATTTGCAAATCAAGTAAAAAAGAAATTAATGATCAGAATTAAAATTTTGGTCTTAGTCTTTAGTTCTTTTGTAAAACGGGCCCCCGGCTCCTGCCGTTGCAACCATTGTTTACAACGTTACTTGAGGTGTAGTTTCTGACGTCACGCCGCTGCACGGTTGAGTATCGAGAGGGGAAAAAGTATCACGATGCATCACGATATATCAGAAAAATATCGCAATATATCATGTCATTTCAAGTTTGTTTTTTTTTTTTTTTTTTTTTTTTTTTTTTACATATTTCTCAAAATTATTTATAGGTTTTGATAAAGGAAAATTTAGATTTCAGCATTCATTAAAAAAATCTTATTGTAAGTCTTGAGTATTAAGTGTCAGTTTAAACTTTTTTTTTTCCTTTTAATTTCTAATAATAGAGGACATTAACTTTTCTTCTGGTTTTTAATGAGTTCTACCATTGTTATTTATGCAAATACATGTACTCTAATTTCGAAACCAAAAAATGTGCATTATATGTACTCGTACTTACTGAAAGTATCGGGACAAAACTCGATTCTTCATTTTATGTATCGATATATCGTATCGACCCCCATCTGTATCATAATACATCGACGTATTGTTACACCCTTACCGGTGAATATGGCATCAAATCCAATGAATATGTAGTGTTATGGTTTGTTGTTATACCTTTAAAAATTGATTCCTATATAAGGTCTAGCATTTCAAATGTTTTACTGAGCGGTCATATTTGACCTCAGATCGAGTGAGATATTAGACCTGTCGATGAGATATTGGACCGCTTACGTCACACTGTAGGCGGGATCAGCTAAATCTTATTTACATTCTTTGGTGTTTGACAGTGGCAGAATTGATCGAGTTTTACCACAGTGTGGGTAAAGGAAATTTACATCAAGAAGCCAGCACAAGATACATGTATGTAAAAAAAAAAATTAAAAAAATGAATAAAAATAAAAGGTATATCAAAACATTTATTAACTGTGTTCTCTGGCAAAATGTGTTTTGTCGACCTCTCGAACAGCCTCAGGCAAACAGTTTGGTTCTTGGGTCCGACAGAACGAATGTTGCCCTCGAACCCAGTCAATAAATGTATATAATTCACCAGAAAAATATCAATATTGAATAGATTATGTAGGGACTATAATTAGACCATATAATAATACATGACTTGTATTATATACCTGGAGTAAAATAAATGTAGTAGATTAGTACATTGATCAATCAGTCGAATAAAATATAAAGGTAGGCCTTTTCTTTTATTTCAATATAATAGCGATACTTCATTTCTAAAGTTTTGTTACTCTCATATTTAGACTAGACAAAGGTGTATACATACACATGTACACATTTTAAAAATTTAGTTTCTATGATTCTTTCATTATGCTTGTACGTTTTTTTTCTGTGTCAGGTAAAAAGTGCTGGCGGATTTTTTTTTGTTTGGTTCATATTCCAAAGTTGAAAATATTCCTGGCGCAATTTTACTAATAAATAAACATTTACATTTTTAATACTATTAGAGATAGTCGGCTAATCGAGCCTTCATTGTTCATAGTTTTGAGATGTGAATAATTTTCGACAATGCTGTTTCGGCGACTTCCTTCGATGTATTACTTCCGGCCCATGATAGTCACGTGGTCTGTATTGACGTCTTTGCTCTTCAATGTACTTCAGACACTTAAAGGGTTTAAAGATGGCAAACTTCATACATGGTCACCGTATGTTACATTTCTAATTCCGTACAAAATCCTCTTTGTCAGCTTCTTATAAGGAATGCGCTCTTCTAGATGACAATATTTTACAATATGAGATTTGACATTCTTCAAGGCATTTATCGCACTTTAATCAGGGAATTTCATCATATACAGATTAAAATAATATATTTTACACATTTTTGACCAATCAACACTTTCCAAAAACAGCAGCTGCTGATCAGAAAGCCGAAACGCACTTTCCGACATAGAAGACAACGGTATGCATTATCATTTCTTTAAAATGACAGCGCATCTGCCTTTTGATCAATGTTTTCCGTTTGTGTAAGTAAATATATATACAGGTAAGTAAACTCACCTGTCGAAGGAATGTGTTTAAATTATTTTTATTTTGTAGAACCGTCTCTGGATTGGACTAGAGAAACATCTGTCAAGTAGAACACACGACAGCTGATGACTGGATTATTCTCGTGTACATACCTACAATGTAGGTAATCCAGGGTGATTTGTAGACATATGGTAGATACGGGAATATCAAGAAATGGTTACACTAACTAAACTGTATAAGTATTGAAGAAAATCTAAACTGAGTACTTATAAAATGAAATCTAAACTAAATGTAAAGTTCAAGGCCATTATCGAAAAAGTACCTGTAGGTTATATACATGTATTTAGTTTATCTGTACATCGCCTGGAAGGTGTTACATTTTACATTGTAACTCTCTGTATCGACTCAACATGTGATAATGTAATTTAAAATGAAAAAAGAAATGTAATAATCAAACTGTTACATTTTACGTCCATATCGTATATTTTTAGTTCAAACACTGGTTTTATCGTTTGCAAAGGACTCGACATATATGTATTTTAGACTGTGGAATTCATATGTTACATTAAAGTTGTAATTTAAGAATTTCAAAACTATTTATGATAGAAAAAAATGATTTTAATATATACAGGTTTTAAGTTTTTATATACACACAATGATTAATTGACTGTTGTTTTACGTCCCTTGCGAGAATTTTTCACTCGTGAATATGAGACTTCCCCAATAGTTAAGGGCTATACTCGGCACTTACGGTCATTGAACATTGAGGGTTCTTTATCGTAACAAAACCTACCGTGACACGGAACCTACGATTTTAAGGTCATGTCCAAAAGTATTATCGATATGAAGTATATATTCAACCGATTTGTAGCCTCCCCAATCTCTCTCTCTTTTATTGCAGATGGAAGTCCGATGCTTCCAATTTCATGCAAGTATGGATAAAACTAACGCAAAGATACAGTCTTAAATCTTGATTTGAAAATAACAAAAAGTGCATTAATATGCAAAAAGGTTTTTTTAAAATTATAATCTGAAATTTGATTGATCTACAATGGGTATTTATATTTATCACAAGTATCAATATATATATTATTCTATTATTCAAATTCTAAAAAGTGATTTTTATGACGAGTAAGTATCACATCTTCCCTTTAAAGCTTTACAATGGTGGGCTGTTATAAAGGAAAATAATCTCCAATCCAATAAATCACAGAAGAGATTGCCTTGGATGTAAGTGAAAATTTCCCATACATTTCGCGGGAATGGAGTTATTGTTTGTTTGTATACTAATAGATATACATGGTAGGACGAGGCTAACGATCAACGGAGAATCAAAGCGCCTGCATTTTTGTGGTTTTGGTACATCCGGCGTATGGAAAATCTGGACTTGTCGGAATATTGTAGTCTAACAATGACGCCCTCATGCCTATTTAAAGCACAAAGCATTTTCATCGAAAAGTTTGTAATTTGGGGGAAAACCAGACTCAATATGTTAAAGGTCATAAGAAACGGTTCTTTACACTAGGATTTTATTTTTTAAATATAAAGACTGGATTAAAAGATTTGAATATCAAATTACGTTTAGTAATAAAAATTTGCATTTGAATAACACAGCAGTGAAGGCGTAAACTTGCGCACTTGTTAAATTTGTTACTCGCTTATCGTTCTTGATTTTGTGGTTTTATGACGTCACAAAGACCCATTCATGTAAATTAGACCAAGTCTAATTTTAGAAATTACGTTTTTTTTTTGTTTGTTTGTTTGTTTGTTTTTTTTTTTCATTTTGCTTGTCAGATTATTTTTGAAAGTTGGCCCCCGCAGTTTTGAAACCGTTGCTACGGGCCTGGTTCAAACAGAGCCGTCGTTTCTTATACAATCAGAGAGTTTATCTGAAAATAAATTCACATTTATATCCACAAATTTACTGCAACAACAAGTGGGGAGGGGGACCAGCCTAGCATATAAAGGAAAGTTTACTATAGCAAAATACTATACTCTGAAAAAGTGCTGGGATCTCCCCCTCCTCCCTTTCTACGACTCTGTGAACTAGTCGTCAGTAAGGCACAGCAACTGAAACAAGAGCATTTTGACGTAGGACGATCCTGATGAATGTCTCTCAGAAATTCTCCTCCAACTCTTATTTATTCTAAATTAATAGTTTAAAAACAAAAATCTTATTTCTGTTTGATTTGGGCCATTTTTTAAAAATAATTTTTCTTGTCATAGCAGAATTACGATGATGTCATCATAATCTCGGCTATTTTATTTCTACATCGTTTTTACAACAATCCCCGTGTTACAGAATGCAGAAAGCGCACATTCAAAGACGCCGACATTTTTCATTGATCTACTAGAGGTTTATCATGAACTTCAATACCCCCTTGTTCATATTTGAAAGGGGGCACTCGTGAGCTAGTTTTTTCCCCCCGCTCAATATATGTCCTATCTTTATTCTACAGAATTTAATAAGCCTATTAATTTTTTTTAATAAAAAATAATTAATTATAATAAAATTAATAAATTAAGCTATTTTTTGTTGTAAATTATACAATTTTACTTGGAATGAAAACCACATTTTTATATTGCACATCATGCAATATCATCATGTATCTTAACCGAAATAAAAAATTAAAGACTCTGAACTCCTTTGACACGTATCATATATGTATCAAAGAGAAATCAGGAGACTTTTGTTTCTAAACTATGGTGGCATATTTCTGCTACCACTTGTCAGATGTTTATGTTGACTTGTCAGATACTTATGTCGAGTAGTGAGAAAAATATATTGTCAACTGATGACCTAAACTGGGAATGGACACAATTTCATGTTGAATTTTTAAACACGTGAATAAGTGACAAGTTAACAAAAAGATCTGACCAGTCGACATAATTATCTGAAAAGACAACTAAAAGATCTGACAAGTCGTCATAATTATCTGACAAGTGGGAGGGGGAAATATGCCACTTTACTAATTTATTAATTTAAAATAAGTAATCAGAGTTGGAGGAGACTTTCCGAGAAGTATTCATGGGTGAATTTAAAAAAATGACCAAATACACATATTTATCAACCTGCACTAAAAATACAGGCAATGGGAATAAATTTCTCTATCTCAGCATATGACTTAAGATAATGTCTAAAAACCTGCCAAATATTTCATTGATATCTCGATTCACAAAAAGTTATATGCCCAAAAATGATGCTAAAATTGTCAGGAGTGCAACACCTTCTTGACATTTTGAAAATGCAGTAGTTTTTGAAGATCTGTGAAATAAATAATAATGGTTTATGTTGGAAATAAAGACTTTCCTGATAATATTCAAAGTACTGAGCTTTAAATATAGACTGTAGAAACTTTTGTTTGACCAAGTTGTGGTCATGGGTGATGTTGAAAAAAATGTTATACACTGTACCATGTCAGGAGTGCAACAGAAAAAATGTAGTGCTGCCAAAAAAACAAAAACATCGATTTTAAAAATCTGAAAGACAATTAAGACAAAAAAGAATTTTCAAAGAGTAAAACAATAACTGATATACAATTTAAAACTTAAAACTGTTATATAAATTACATGAAGCATTAATGAGAGTCAAGTATCTGTGTATACCCAATAATGTCAGAAGTGCAACATTTGATGTTCTGTTCCCCAGCATGAAAAAACTTTTAACAGAATATGATTCTCTGATTTTTATTTTGGAAAATAAAAACACAAAGAATATTTATACCAAAAAGATTTATCAATTACAGGGTCTGTCTGTGTTTCAGATTTACATTTCTATGGTCAGGAGTGCAACACGTTTTTTTTTTAAGATTCAAGTTATATGATGAAAAGACTTCATTTCATGCTAAGAAATATTCTTTAATTAATAATGATCTATTTGAATAGTTTAGTACTAAATTATTGACAGTTTTATTATTAAAATCCTTCTCTTTTTCAATTTTATCAATTCAGATGTGTTTTCATCTTTTCTTTGATTTTTTTATGAATGTAAAAAATAAACACGCTGAAAAATTGTTATAAAATTTAAGTAATTCCACCTCAACTTCACTGAAACAACAGGACAAGTTATGAGGTAATTTTCACTTCACAATTATACTTTAAAGACTCCAATGCTCTTAGTCAGGAATGCAACAAATATGTTAGAATTATTGCTGATCAAATATGAGTAAATATAAAGAAAAAATTGATCGACCTCAGTTGCTTACAGTGTTTGTCCTGTGAAGGAAAATGTACTATAATATATATTTTATTTTCTAAATATATATTTTAGCTAGTTTTTTGACATAGAGAGGGAATAATTCAAGATATATAGCCAAGTTTAGATACTTTCATGTGTTTTAATTACGAAGCTTTAAGTATTGGACTATAAATATTGCACAATTTCGTTACCACTTGATGTTGCCAACACTTTATGAAGTTTTAATTTTACAGCAGTCATGAGTGCAACAAAACTGTTTATAATTGTCAATGATCTTCATCTACCTTTACTAAAAAATAAATTGAAAAAAAATGTTTGGTACTATTTTGTGTCCATCAACTAATTACAGACACTTTACAGTCAACTCTGAGAATAGTTTTCATCACTTAACACATATTTTTAAATACAATGTATGTTACACATTGCAAATAATCATGTTTTGAAGTCTTGAAAATATGAAAAATTTGCCGTAAGTGATAAAAAACATTTCAAAACGACGAACTGATTTACAAACTAAGAATGGATTATTGTGTGTTATAACTTTTAAAACAATGTTAAGTAAAATACATATCATATGTCAGGAGTGCAACACAATAATGTAAAATAGGGTCACTTCAAAATCTAGTATTTTTTGTAAGAAAACTTGTGTTTCAAAATTCTTTTTTGCTTTAGATTTAACGGATGACTTAAACGGACAAAAAAGTGATTTGGGGGGAATTTTATTGTTTCATACATGTATTCCTTTCATATTAAAAATTGTTTTTTTTCCCCACATATACAAGAGAAGACACTCAATCAAGGTTTAGATCTAATCATTTATATCCCTGATGCCATTTTGAGGCATAAAAAACTATAATTTCCTTTGATTATGTATTTTAGAAGGTCTTTTAGGGTGTATTTCTTTTTTCAAATAAATTTTTACTAATAAAAATTCTGAAACTTTTTTATCCAATTATCTATTCTATTGCAACTTCAGGAATTTTTACTAGAATGCATGTACAGTATGATAATATAAACGAAAAATATGTTATGGGTAGTTGAATTTTTCAAAAAATTTCAATTTGGTGGTCATTATTTTTGAATTTACAATTATCAGGATCGTCCTATACGATATAATGCTCTTGTTTTCAGTTGCTGAGCCGACGTAGTTCAAACAGAACCGACGTGTCTAGACAAGCGTACACATATAATAAATAATGCCTTCTTGCCTATTTAAAGCACAAAGAATTTTCATCGAAAAGTGTGTAATTTTGGAGAAAACCAGATTCAAAATGTTAAAGGTCAATAGAAACGGTTCTTTACACTAGAATTCTAATTTTTAAACATAAAGATTTGTTAAAAAGAATTTCAAATCACATTTAGTAACAAAAATTTGCATTTGAATAAC